AATTGGGATATTCTACTACTCTATGAGCCTATTCTCATGACAAAAACTGAATTGATTACTCAAGGAAATTTTCGTTCGGATTCTTTTATTGAAATAAGGAAAATTTATGATAAGAATGTATGCTCAGCTGGTTAAGGATAAGTGGAGGAATCGTACTTTTGTAAAAGCTACTGAAAGATTTGAAAGAACTGATGGAAGTTTCATTTATGCAATTATGTGACATGAATGAATTTCGATGAAGAAATTCTTTTAAGGAGTGGAGAATTGTAACACCCCAATTTAGGGGCTAAAATTAAGAAATTATAAAGTGGTGGATTTAATTGGTATTTTGAAATAAAAAGTTGATTAAATTGTAAAATTTTAAAGTTGGCAGACCGTTTTATGAAGTGTAGGAAGTTCAGTGGCTAAACTCTTGGTTTAACCATTTTTATTTATGAGATGATATAAACCCCATTCCCGTATATTTCTGGAAAAATTTTCCAATTTTCCCTCTCCCGTTAATCCCTCTTTCAACTCCGATCTACTCGCCGTCCGACCTCTGATCGACGAACCGAAACCACCATCGTGTTCGTTTTCGACCGAAGAACAAAACCCCTCAAACCTTTCGTCGTGAATCGTCACCATTCGTCGTTAATTTCAGTCGGAAGTACCGTAAAAAATAACTCAATTTTAGTTGGTTTTTCATCGATTCACAACGATCGGGTCATCCGTTTACTACACCTCCCGCACCATCGTGTTCCTTGCATCGTTCCGAGTCTACCGGTGTCATCCTTAGTCTCCGTCGACGGCGGCGCTTGAGGAGGTGAGACGGTCAAAGTTTCTGATTTGTTAAAATCGAGCTCTCTGCCGTTCAAAAATTTGAACCGAGCTTTGTAAGTATCTCGAAATCGCTCAAAATAATTTTTAGAAATTTTTCTATGAATTTTACGCTGCCGGAACAGTACCCAACCGTCGCCACTGCACGTGGGGATGGTCCAAATGACCAGTTTGACCGGTTTTGAAACCAGTTTGACCGGTTCCAACCCGACCCAACCCATTTTTCTGACCCGACCCGTTCACCTGACCCGACCTGTTGACCGACCCATTGACCGGTGTTGACCACAGTTGACCAAAACTTTAATTGGCTTTGAACGGGCGTTAAACGACCTTTGACTTCGACCGAGTATACCTATCCTGACATTTTTCGACGTTCCAAATCCGATTCCACAGTCCGTTTCTCGAAATTCAGACCCGAAGACCTCGAAATTGCCAGTCAAACCCATTGACTCTTATTTTGACCGAAAATTTCAAATTTTCGAAAAATCTTATTTTATGCTTTTGATGTCCTGAATCCAGATCCGAAGTCCGTTTCGCCAAATTCGAACCCGGTAAGTTGGTTTTCACTGATTAATCACCTGATTCAATCCGTTTATCGTAATTAAGCTCCGTTTTTTATATAATTTATGTTGATATGTATCTGAGGAATTATTGGAAGTTGAATTGAAGATCAAAGGCGTTCGAATGGAATTTTTATGGCCGATCAGTATTACACAAAAATCTAGGTAATACTTTACTACCTCTTTATGCTTTATAGAACATGTTGGTATTGGTAAATGCATGAATGGAAATGTTTGGTCTCATATGTGTAATTAATGAAGATCTACACTAGATATGAATACGGTAGAAAGTAGGTAATTGAATATGGCTCATATTACTATTCTAAGAAATTAGAGGACAATTGGAATAAAATTACAAGTTCTGGAATTAAGTGATAAAAGAATCAACCATGAATATGTAGATTATAATTTATCTCATTAAAGGTACTTAGATGATAAATTATGAGAATATTTCGATTAGGTAAAATTATGAAATTACCCTTATGTTGGAAAATGACAAGAATTGTCCCTGGAAGTGGATTAATAAATCTGAAAAGAATTATTGATCTACTAAAACTATTGATGTGCATAAGAAATGTTAGTTTTACTTGGAAATTATGGATAACCGGTTTTTAACCCCAAGAAGGTTTATGCTAGATACTAGAAGTCTTTTAAGGAATCTTTTCAAGATCAAAGAATGTTCGAGGAAACAATTAATCATAGGATCTCTATATTATATTATTTTCGTTAAGAGCTAATATCGAAATTATCTGGTTAAGAAATTAAAAAAATACCCTTGAGAAGTAAAATAGTCAGAGTTGACCCTGAAGGAGATAGTACTTTGAGGATTTGTACTTAACTCGATTAAGTACGAATTTAATTATTAAGATCTTGTCTTTGTAAAGAAAAATTCATGATATTTCGTTTGTAAAATCCGAGAAGGCACTTGACCCGAAAATATCCGAGTTATGAGTAAATACCTGAAGAACAATTTATCGGAGGGTGCACTTTTATCAGAATTGTTCAAAAGGACTTGAATAGATGATAAATTGGAATTAAATAATAAGTCCGGATGGAGGGAAAATATTGAAATACCGTAGATCTATAAAATGACCAAAATACCCCTGTAATGGAAATGACCTAAGAATATCACTAACCTCATGAATGATTGGATATCCTCGAGCTCTGAAATGAATGGAATAAGACTGAGCATCAAAATGACCAAAATACCCTTATGACCTAGAATAAGTAAATATCTTGGATTAATTAATTAATCCAAATAAGCATAGGTGTTGGACTACCTTTAAAAGTTATGGAACACAACTTAAGTGAGTTGATCAATCGTAATGATATGTCAATACCTGGACGATATAGATATTACTTGAATGCGTGCTCGTCTTCTCAAGTGTGGCTTGATGATAGTTTTGGAAGTATTCAACTCAGCTAAACTTTATATCGCATTCAATATTAAGAAGTGGATATTCATTAGACAAATCAACTACGACTACCAAATTGAATTGAACGGAAGTGCAATATGTATCTGAAATTCATAATTCTAAATTACTATGGAAAACCCTGAAGTAATTGTAAAGGACTTGACTGCTAAATGAACTAAGTAACCTCAATGACTGAGGATTAAGTAAGAGATTGGAATAAGTTTGGAACCTCGGATGAACTTATATGATGTATCATCCCTATGGATTATGAACCATAAATCAAGTACGTCAGCATTTCCTGGTATAGTTGAAACATGGAAATGAAATAAAGACCATTAGAATATTTGTTTGTCTCCTTAAGATTTATTCAGTGATGACTCAGAAGATGATCTGTGGATAAGAATATTTGGTATTAAAGAGTAAATACCCTGGAAGGTTAATGAATTGAAAAGTTGGTAAGTATTGGTTCTGGGAGCTATTCATCTGGAGTTGTTCGATAATCGAATTAATCGTCATAGATTGTAAAGATTCTGAATACCTTCAAATTTCGTAGAGCTTCAGAAAAGTGTCCGAATAAGATGATTCCGATAAATCATACCCTGAATAACTGATGATTATGCCAGTTAATGAACTTTTCAAATAGTTATTCTAACTTCCGACATTCTATCGGTAAACTGAAGATTTGTGTCTCTCTACCCGATAAGATTATCAAATATCTCTGAATAATATCTGTAAACTCTGGTGTGTTCCCTAATTATATAAATATTTTATCTGATTTCCGACTTGAATTCTGTTATGATATATGACCAGAATTCTGTTCTGATTTCTGATATGGATTCTGTTCTGATATCTGTTCTGAATTCTGTTTTGATTTCTGATATCTCCGTTTAATGACGGAAAAATGTTTTAATTGGGGGGTATTGTTGAAGGAAGTATTTCCGCAGGTTCCTTGGCTTTGTGCTCAGGGCCTTATATGTTGTGTTGGGTTGGGTGTATGGTTCTGGGGAACCTACACATTCTGTTGTGATGGGATGGGGGTATATATATATATATATATATATATATATATATGTTTTAAAAGATCTGTATCTTTTTATTGGTTTTACGGGAACATACTAGACAACATATTCTGATCTCCTGAACTCAAGCATTCAAAGTATTTATTTGAACTAAAAGCACATTGTCCGTTAACATCTGAAATATCAGTAGGATCTCCGATCAGCATAAAAATCTGTAGATGTTCAGAACCAATAAGGAAAGACATGTTTATCTGTATCTTCATGTTCTTCAGCATTAGTTCTGTATTACTGAGCTTTCCAAAGCTCACTATGTTACTCATCTTTTCTGGTTAAAAGAATTGTATCAGTGCAACTATCGTCATCAGTAAGGGAGTTCTTCCGGTGTTGTTTGCATAGTACGATACATGTGATTAGGGGCATGTAATTGTATTTTATTTTATATACGAGTCTGAAAATCTGTTTTATTTTTAAATAGTGACAAATGATTTTATAAGTTTACATGTTCTGATAAAAAGTTTTAAATTTTCCGCTATTTTTACAGTGGGTCGCTCCGGTGGCCCTAATGTGACTTCCCGGATCGGTCTAACCGCATCGGTCTGAGGGGGTTACAAAACATATTTTTTTATTTGGTAAAATGAGTATATAATTAAAAAATATATATCGAGTTGAGTCGTAAATATTTTATTCAAGTCTAATCTAATTTCGTTCTTTAAAAAATTGACACCCAAAACTTAACTTTTTAAATAAAAATTTGATTATATAAAATTGAACTATAATCTGTTAGATTTGGATGAAATTGTCATCCTAAATTTGTTGGATTTTTTTAGTTTTAGATTTTCCAAGTTTTTTCACCTAATAGGTCACCCTGCGTTTTTATTTAGCCCAATAGAGTACCGTTTTTTTTATTTTAGAGAATAGAACAAAAGTTATAGTGATTCACGTACTCGCCTAGTCGTGACGAATTTATTTTAAAAAATTAAATAAAAATTATAAAAATATTTTTAATATTAAAAATGGAAAAATAAATAAATATAACTTGTCATCGAGTTCGATAAGATTTTTTAAATTTATTGCCGTCTATAGCCGTTGGGATTGATGCTATAAATTGGGGTTTAGGGTTTAGGTTTTTTTATCATCCACTGTTATGAAAAAGTTAAGAAAAAAACTTACTTTTTGAAAAATCCCGAAAAATGGCTTCCCGAGAAGAAATGTTACGCCTCGATATTGTTCATATTTCGATGATTGAACTCTGTCCAGAAGAAGAACAAAGCATTCATCAGCGTAGGATGACATCGAGAGATTTGCATAAGTTGATGATGATATATCTTCATCAATTTGATCTCTATCCATCCATATTTTTACGTTGCTTTAAAGTGTACCCGACGTTGATTTCAACTCTGATTGAACATTGGAGGCCTGAGACGCGCACTTTTCATTTCCCGAGTGGTGAAGCCACGATTACTTTGGAAGATGTCGTTTACCAACTCATTGTTCCTGTTAATGGTTTTGCTTTCGTCAGGATGAACAATTACTACCCCATCCCTTTGGTCCACAATGTTTTGGGAAGGCAGCCATCATCCGAGGTCATGGACGGCTATCAAATATGAATGACATGGTTGGAGTCTAAATTTTAAGTGACGAACGACTCTACCGAGGAGGAGGATATTTTTGCATCCCGAGTGTATCTTCTCCAACAGATCGAATGGATATTATTACCGGATAAATCTGGTAATTTGGTGCACACTTAGTATCTCCCTATATTAAATAACTTTGACGAGTGTCGTAATACCACTTGGGGCACGGTGATTTTAGCCTTTTGTACCGGGAGCTTTGCAAGGCTGCAATCGTCCACGGGACCAAAAAGTCGATGTAGCAGGCTGTCTAATATTGCTACAATCCTAGGCTTGGTGTCGGTTTATGTTTTTTTAAGCCAATTACAACAACCCCAGTTGAGTTTCCTTTCGTTGGAAGGTAATTCTTTAATTTCATTTTTTAAACTATATTTTTTAATCATTTTTATATTTTTTAGATGGCACCATAAAATAACCAAGACGAAGTTGTCGAGTGCTACTAAAACCGATATACGGATAAGGATCAACATCGTCGGTCGATATGCGATAAATATTATTTCTTTATTATTAATTTTGAAATTGTTTAACTTTATATATACTAACTTTTATAATTAATATTTACTATTTTCTTAGCTTCCATATTGCGACAAAGAGGTCTATCAGTTATTGCCACCGAGATTTTCTTATGGGTCCGATTTATGGTGTGTCGTGACTCCATTATTACATTTTCTAATTGTTGAGATGCACGCCATTAATAGAGTGTTGCGACAGTTTGAGTCTCATCAATTGATTCCTACCCAAATATGGGACATTGATGCGCTCCACAGAGTTGATAGGCATGGGAAACATACCAAAAATTGGTCGAGGAAGCACGTTGTCTACATTGAGCAATGGAATTAGCATCACCTAACGATCACCCCGCATTATGATATTACACCGATCAACCTAGATTTTGACCATTCTCCCTATCTCCAAAATTACTAAGCAAATGAGAAACCATATTTGACGACACCAGAAGACATGTGAAAATGGGAACAATATAAGACCAAATTTGTCAAGCCGAAGAAATCATCGTCATCTTATTCTTCTGCTACAACAGTTGCATCTGAAGATTACTGTTATACATCTCATACTAGTTTCAATTTCTATAAGGCATATCATACTTCAACCTAGACTCAGCTGACTTGGGTTGGACCTTCATGGGATGCAATGCAATAAACTCAAGCATTTTCGACATAACATGCAGGTGAGGATGAATGAGATCATATCATATATAGTCAACAAGATAGCCAAGTTGATTCAATAACGACAATAATGGCGTCAAATACCATAAGCCCATCACCGTATTTCGAAGATGGATCTCAGAGAATGTTAACTACAACTCCTTTTGAACAACCAAACCAAGATGAAGATGAAGATAAAGACGACGAAGACGACGACGATCAAGGCCAATGACCCCGACGTACTCTATGAGCCCCGCATCATTATCATTCGACCACTCATCAATATTATCAAGAACTTCAAAAATATAAACAAATTATATTATGTACATATTAGATTGTACATATTTTTTCTATTTTAATATTAAAATTATTTTTATAACTTTTATTTAATGTTTCAGATTCATCACGTAGAGGTAACAAGTCGCTTTAATTTCAATAAATAAATGGTCCATGTAGGTTATACAAACTTATCAGATTGAGGTGATGAGTTCGTGAATTACTGTAACTTTTGTTGTATTCTTCAAAATATAATAAAAACAGATACCCTAATAGAATATCAGCCCATTTTTCTCAATTTAAAAAGATAACCCAAAACGTAAATATGTATGATGCCCGAACTCCACCATCGAATTTGCAAAACCTCAGGCTCGATTCAACGGTAGGGTTTATCAAAACGCAACAAGCAAAAAAAGTTTGAAGAGTGAAAAAGCAAATGATATAGAATCCATTCCATTCAGCCATGGCTACTGCGATTTGGAGAAACGCAAGTCGTTTACGGAACCTTCATCGGTGTCTTTATACCCGCAATCTAAGTCAATTCAGATCCCCTATTTCATCGTCAACAACAATAGCCGATTCTCTTCACATTCCATCTCTCCCTTCCTCGCGACCGGTTCGTTTTCCTCCTCATTTGTCGCTTGTTACAGTTCTTTCAATCTATGATGAGTTTTCTTTTTGGTGGTTCACAGACTACTCCTGTTGGAGCTGAATTCAAATCCTTGGGAATTTATCAAAGATATTTATCTAATACCGCCACAACTCCTAATGAAAATCAAGAGAAATCATCTTCATCATCGAAAACCGATTCTGAAGGGACACAAAACATTGGAGGTTCGCAACAGAGCAGTGGCGGTAGTGCTGGCAAACCTGGTCGCGGCGCGGTACTTCATTTTTCATTTTCCTTTTTGGCTTGGAATTAGAATTTCGGCTCTTATTTTTATTGGATTGGAATTTGCAGCCTGCTTCATGGTTGAGTTTTCTGTTGCTGCTTGCCACTGGAATTGGTATTATCCTTTACTATGACAATCTGAAGAAACGACATATTGAAGGTACACTTCTATGGTGAGTTGGATTTTATGTTAAAAGGTTCTGCAATGCTGGAAAAGATAATATAAAAAATGAGCAGTTGAGCTGAATCTTTGAATTTAGAAGTTGTAATTTACAAGTTGAGGCATCCTCTATTGCACAACTGCGATACCCACAATGTCTACAACAGCATCCTCTATTGCTGCAATCGCGGTAAACACAACCAAAAATGCGATTGCGACTGCAATTTAAATCCCTGATTATTAGTATCATATTGCCTTTCTTTCCTGCATATTTTGGTTGAAGACTGAAGGCTTTGCTGCTGCAGAAATAAATAATGCTTCAAAGGCTGTTAAAGAAGGGCCAGCTGCTGGAAAAGCAGCCATCGGGGGGGCCATTCAGTCTTATAAATGATGAAGGCAAACGTGTTACTGAGAAGGACTTTATGGGGAAGTGGAGTTTGGTATATTTTGGCTTCACTCACTGCCCAGATATCTGTCCAGATGAGCTGCAAAAGCTGGCTGCTGCTATCGACAAAATAAGTATGTTGTTCGTAGTTTCATTTGGCCACAAAATAAAATGATGAATTGTAATTTCGTTTTGTTAAAAAATTGCGTATAACCATAGAAATTAAAGCAATTCTGAAATTATCAGACTATAAACAACTCTTCTGATCAGTGGCATTATAGTAACATTAATTCTATTTGGTTTCTTCTTCTTTTTTCACTTCTTAGAGGAAAAGGCGGGAATAGAAATTGTGCCTGTATTTATCTCTGTTGATCCTGAAAGAGATACCGTTGAGCAAGTACGTGAATAAGTGAAAGGTACTTATAGTAATATTAGAAAGTATGATATTTTGGTCCAGATACATATGCTAATTATAATTTGGTTCATCGGAATTTTTATCTCTAATTATTTCTCCACTTTTGCAGAGTTTCATCCAAGATTAGTAGGGTTAACTGGTAGCACTGACGAGATAAAAAAAGTTGCTCGTGCATATCGAGTTTATTATATGAAGACAGCTGAGGAAGATTCAGACTACCTTGTTGATCATTCCATAGTCATGTAAGTATTAGCTTTGTTTGATCTGACCTACATTTTTTGTTTGTATCAGCGTGATGTTGACTGGCAGTCTTGCGACCTGTAGAATGATAGGACATTGGTGTATGTCGACATTGATGTAGATAAAAATAGCAAATGGAAAAATGGAAAAATATTACATTTTACAGGGTAGAGTTGTTTGGATGAGAGAAAGTTATCAGTTTTTCCTACCGAAGACTTAATTGTCTTGGCAAGGGAAAATTACTAAACATTGAACCATTTTATCACTTTCGAACCGAGATGCTCTAGCACTGCTTCCTAAAAGCAGCGTGTCTACCTGTTTAACCACAGCTGTGACTCTCGAAGGGAGCAATGCCAGTAATGTGAACTTGTGTGATACTGCTGTGAAGTTCCTAAACCTATCAACTTGCAGCATTAGTTTATTGGTGAAATTACTACTAAACATTGAACCATTTTGTTGCCTACCGTTGGCATTTCATTTATGCACTGCTTGTAGGAAGGCTATGTCAGCTTGTTTCTTATTCTCACATGAATACTCGTAATATAATTTGAATTTCAGTCTTAATGCTGAACTCCATGTAAAATTCAAACTCCTATTGACATTGGTCCTTTTTTGTTCTTTCTTATGCAGGTACTTGAGGGATCCTAATATGGAATTTGTAAAGTTTTTCGGGAAGAATAACGATGTTGATTCACTGACCGACGGTGTGATCAAAGAGATAAAACAGCACAAAAAATAGAGGTACTTTTTGAGCCGAAGTTGTTTACTGGGTTCGGAATTTGGATTATCTGCTGGCACGGAGAGTAACAATTTTTTCTTAGTTTCTCATGAAAAGAATAATGATTTATGTTTATTATGCTAAAAGAATTTTGTGTTAAAAAGTCTAAATTAGTGCCAGCGCTGGAAAGCTTGAGCAATGTGTCGCAACTGTACTTGAATATAAGTGCTTATATGCATGAATGAAATTGATTTTGATAGGAAATGATATTATACATTGATTGAATGCATGAACTTATGCTTGTGAATTTTGTATGTAATATTTTTCTTGTTTTCCTTTTCTTTCTTAATTTAAAGGTTGAATTACACCAACGGTCACTAATGTTTGTGTCATTTCCTGGCTAACACAAGTCTGATGTGGCTGGCATCCCCCATTTCAACGAAGGTTCATGCGAGAATATAGTGAGAACCGACTGGTTTCTTAAGTTGCAAAACCCTATATTCTTTTTTCCCAAACAATTTCTTATCTCACACAGAAAGTTATGCATTTATTCTCTTTAATTTATGGATTTTTTTTCAAGTTTTTTCAGCAATTTCAAGCTCTGGGTATTCTCTAGAATGATGAAACTTAAGTAAAAAGAAAGGATAAACTATGCATTTAATACTTAAACTATCAGTTTTGATCTGTTTTAGTACTTAAATTTTTAATTTTTTTAAAAGAATACCTA